CCAATACAAGAAAAAACACTAGTACCACTAATAGGTTATGTGTATCATTTTGAATTTTCATGCAATTCATTTTAGGTTTCCGTTCACTGCATGTGACTGATTTCATAAGTCAAAACCCAAATATTGAATAGCATACACATGGTTTTAAAGGGTGGACGCATTTCATTTTTAATTTTAATTTTTATTTCCAAAAGCAATCTGAATATGTATATGAGTAACATCCTCTGCAGCTTTGGCTGATGAAGCTAAACAAGACAATGGAGAAAACGCAAACTGATGGATATGATGTGGAAACCAAGCCTATACCTGGTGGATAAATTCTCTCCAGAGGACAAATGGCGTCCGACAATCATGACAGAGCTTTGGCAGAGTTCAGTGAACATATTCTGAAGCATATGAACTACATTTAAAGGAAGAGTCCAGTCAGCAAGGAATAATCATATACCTAAAACTAATATGTTTGCGGTGATCTAATGAATTTAGCGTTAATCAGCAAAAAGAATGAAAACAAATTTTTGTTGCGATCACTGAGTCCGGGAGCGGCCATTTTTGGCCAAATATAGTAACACCTCCCTCCTGCCATCTTCCAGCAGTGAGGTCACGGTGCGGTAAGCCTAGCGCCATTGTCGCCGCTTTACAAGCAAAATCAATGGGAACTACTAGACACATCTGCAATCAACAACAATTATTAAAGATTTCCAGAGGACTTCACCATTGAAATTCACCAGAGCTATAGTGAAACTGACAATGCCCATGTGCATGGCAGCTGGATGCTGGAATACATCAAGTAAAAGTGGAAAAAAAGAATTGTTATTACACCTTTCTGATTCCTGATCCTCCACGGACGGGTTCGTCGTTAAATTGCCAACTTGAAGAGGGAGGATTTACCATCAAACGCCAGAGAAAAAACAAATATCGGCTACAAAATATGTAGCCAACATTTGGAAGAAAAATGTTTTCAAGATGACTTGGATAACAGCGCATTGTGACAAACACCAGATACAGCACTGGGACTTGATCAACAGCCGCTACCACACCGTGACGTCACAAACCAGTAGTTGGCAGTAGTGTTCTTTGACAAACATGGATGCCTCCAGTAAAGCACATTCAAATGAAAATTACTCTTAATTAAAAACACTTATCATTTATTGAACAGTAAAGTAATAATTTCATATTTAAGGTACTTTCAGAATTCGTGATTTTCCTTTAAATGAGTTCTCTAGAAGCTCTCTTTATGAGTATCAGGAATGAGTTCATCAGCGGGTCAGCTCATGTTGGATGTTTTGGAGAGATGCCAGATTGAGACAGTGTGGACATCTACAAAGGAGGGATAGCGAGTAAATCAGCAGAAAGATGTTGAGGCCAGGCAGGAAGCCTAAAGGAAGAGCAAGGAAGAGATTTATAGGTAGAATTAAAGAGGACATGGAGGTGGTTGGTGTGACAGAAAAAGATGCAGACGATAGGGTTGGATGGAGACAGATGACTCGCTGTGGCGCCCCCTGGAAGGGAGAAGAAGAAAAAAGAAGACCTAAGTTTAAATTTCAACTTTCATGCTATGAGCAGGAAAGCTGAAGCAAATTTTTGCGATGACAATATTAATCCTTAGAACTTTAATACATCTTTTTAAACCTTGTTAGAATTTTCCGCTGCATTGGTTTTCTTCGATATTTGCCGTTCTTTTTGGGATATATGCTGTTTTTTTTTTTGGATAATCTGTTATTAAAGGGGGAGGAATTTACTTCCCCAATCCTTTACTTATATGCAAATTAAAATACTAATGTTTTACTTTTATTGAACGTATTAAACTTATTTATTTTCCATTCTTTACATGTTTGAAGTAAGTTTTCCAAAAGCTAAACAGTTATTTCATTGTCAGTGTAGCAGCGCCACATGTAGTTTACTACATAAAGTGTACTAAGTTAGCATGCAGACGTTTCAGTTTCTAGCTACTGAGTGATCCCGCTTATTTCTTTCTTCTTTTCTCCTTTTGTTGACTGAAATAAAACTGACAGAATCAGCTGTTCTATGTTGGATAACAGGTAGGAAGGAGCTCTTTCTATCAGGAGGCGTAGTGGGTGATGAGGAAATCTTTTTTCCAGGAAACGTCAGTGGGTCACTGAAACTTCAAAAAATAATTATAACGGACAAGATCTAGACCCCATGTCTGATTGTTTTTCTTTGTAACAAGATCTACATAATCCCTGAAGGTTTTTAAATATGAAATTATGCTATCCAAATTTATTCCTGCTCATTTTTATGAACCACTTACATGTGTTTGGTTGTAGGAAAATGTTCCAGTGTTCTAATAAATCACCCTCAGGTTATCTCCTCAAAATAAAAGGAAACGCATCTGAAGGAGGAGTTAGATTAAAACCTGTGACAGGTAATATGCAACTAAAAATGTTATCCCAGTATTTGGTGTTTTTTATGGAAAATATAAAATAACTGCTCTAAAGCAAAACTTTGCCATTATTGCATACTACCATACACCAAATACTATTACAATACAATACAATAAG